TACTGTTGTGTAAATTATGAGCCATCACTGACTCTAGAAAGGATCTGAAATCTTCTGTATATACATAAAGTTCTACTTGTCTTCTTCAGCTTCCAGTCAAGACAGGATAACATGGGACAGATTTATCCTGACACCTATACAATACTGAAGAAACATTTAAAACACTTGACTTTAGAGGCAATGAAAGACAGTGAGTGCTGGGAGATGGTAAACAAATAAGGTGAGTCCTGTGTAATGGTCCCAGCTCACTGTCCTGAACTTTCCAGGTCATAATGGAGATTCACAGAGGAAAGAGGATCTAGTCACCCTTTTGACGTGGTGATGGTTTCATGGAGATATACACACATAGACATATCTATGTTGTTGTTAAGTGATATCAAGTCGCCTGAGACTCATAGCAACCCTATATACAGTAACTCTGAACTATTCCCTATCCTGAGCCAATTTCACTGTCTCCTCCACACTTACCCCATTACCTCAGTTACTGAGTCAATCTATCTCATCCAGGATCTTCCTCTCTTGCACTATCCTTCTATTGTTCTAAGCATGATATCCTTCTCCAAGGACTGGTCTGTCCTGGCAACATGCCCAAATATGTGAAATGGAGCTTCAAACTTCTTGCCTCCAAGAAGCAGCTCAGCTTCACCCTCTCCTGGACATACCTGTTTATTCTCTTAGCAGTCCATGGTATGTATCTTCAATACTCTTCTCCAGCACCACAATACAAAGGCATCAATTCTTCTGCTATCATCTTTGGTCATTGTCCAGCTCTCTGCTATGTTTTACTTGCTATTTAACAAGTAATTGTGAAGACCATGGTTTACATCAGGCACACCTTAGCTTCTAGACTTACATCGTTCTTCAGCACTCTGGAGAGAGATCCCTGACAGCAGATTTTCCCAATGCAATTTGTCTTTCGATTTCTTGATTGCTGTTGCCAAGAATGTTGATCATGAAATCAAGCAAGCTGAAATTGTTAACAATCTCAATCTCTTCTCTGGCTATCATGATGCTGCCAGTTGGCCTTCGTTTCTTTGATGTTGAGCTTCAATCCACATACAGGCTGCAGTCCTTGACTCTCTGTAGTAAGGGCTTCAGGTCCTCCTCAGTTTCAGCAAGCAAGGTTGTGTTGTCTGCATGGTGCCAGTTGTTGATGAATGTTCTTCCATTCCTGATGCTATATTCCTCCTCAGAGAGCCCAACCTCCCAGAAGATCTGTTCCACATATAGAAAGGTATGGAGATAGGATGCATCCTTGGCATATACCTTTCCTGATTTTGAATATATATGTTTAGTTTGGTTATTTTTTGGAAATAGAAGTAAGCTATTATATAAATATGTCAAAACTTATCAAATTGCATACTTTAAATATATACAGTTGGTTGTTAATTATACTGCAATAAAGTAATTAAAAGAAAACCTTCTTGATTTTAGATTTTTCTCAGCACCAAAATATTTTTTTCCAAGGAGAAAACAACCATGCGGAATGTTCTATTAATCTCAAAAATGCCATCTAAGTGAAGCCGGTGGCCCGGCTCCGGGCAGGACCAACAAAGATGGCGGCGGTGCCTGCGGCGGGAGCGATCAGGACGGCTGCTGCGGCTAAAGCTGCAGCCGGACCCGCGGAGGGACTGCGCGGGGGTAGAAGGGGGTGGCCCTGAGCTGGGGCCTGGCCCCGGCCGGCC